TGGCAAAATGTATTTTTAAAACTATATTAGGCTTGTTGCAGTTGTTCATGCCTGTAATCCCAGCACTTTGGGAGGCCACGGTGGGCGGATCACCTGAGGTCAGGAGTTTGAAACTACCCTGGCCAACATAGTGAAACACCATCTCTACTAAAAATGCAAAAAAAAAAAAAAAAAATAGCTGGGCCTGGTGGCATGCGCCTGTAATTCTAGCTATTCGGGAGGCTGAGGCAGGAGAATCGCTTGAAACTGGGAGGCAGAGTTTGCAGTGAGCTGAGATCTCGACACTGAACTCCAGCCGGGATGGCAGAGAGAGACTCCGTCTCGAAACAAAACAAAATAACTGTATTAATGAGTTTTGTAGTATTTTCATAAAAAGCTTTTTTTTTTTTCTGAGACAGGATCTTGCTCTGTTGCCCAGGCTGAAGTGCAGTGTCATGAATCAAGGCTCACTACAGCCTTGACCTCCTGGGCTCAAGCAATCCTCCTACCTCAGCCTCCTGAGTAGCTGGAACTATAGGTATGTGCTACCAGACCTAGTTTGTATTTATTTATTTATTAATTAGAGACAGGATTTCACCATGTTGCCCAGGCTGGTCTCAAACTTCTTAGCTCAAGCAATCTGCCCTGCTCAGCCTCCTGAAGTGCTGGGATTATAGGCATGAGCTACCACACCCTGCCACTTTTCAAGACTTATTTTTTTATTTTTCTTTTTTTCCAACAATATATTTCTTCCATGAAGGCCTGTTTTCAAGACTTTCAAATGCTAAATTTCCATTTAGATTGAAATAGGACCATTCAAGTTCACATAAAGTGGCTGACGTGGGAGGATTGCTTGAGGGAAGGGGGTTAAGACCAACCTAGCCAAAATAGTGATACCTTGTCTCTATTATTTAAAAAAAAAAAAAGTTTACAAATAAAAAAATACTAAAATAAATAAATAAATAAAATTTAAAGAGGAAGAAACTACCAAAAAAAAAAAGTTTACCTAAAGCTAATGGGGTGGTAACTTTCACAGAAATTGAGGATTTTAATTGTGAAAGTTTCTGAGTTTCCTTTAAGAAAATGAAATAGTCATCTGATATGTACTTCTTTTGTCTTGGAAAACTTTATTGTAAGTTATGTGACCAAAGACCAACCCAGAGGAAGAATGAGAAAATTGGAGCAGGTCATAATTTGGTTGTTGATTGAAAGCTTCTCCCTCTTTCTCAATCTCCTGACCTTGTGACCTGCTTGTCTCAGCCTCCCAAAGTGCTGGGATTAGGATCCACCACATGCGCCTGGCCAGAGCTTCCCTCTCTCTTAAATGGGGGAGAGGGAAGGAGCTGAATCTTGCCTATTTTTATCTGCATTCCATCATGTTCAGAATATTATGAAGAAAAAATTTTTGAACCCTAAGTTAGTCCTATTTATGGTATTTCACTAAAGTGTAATGTATTCAAACAAGAGCTTTTTATCAGAATTAATGATTATATTTCTGCTCTTAGAATTTTTAGATAGTATTGATTGTGCTTTATACTTCCAATTATAAATCTCAGCCCTAAAAGTCTACTTTAAAGTTTACTTTCTTTTTTTTCCCTTTTGCATTTGTTACTAATCTATCCTAGAAGACATTTTGGCAGGTGATTAGAATAAAAGATAACAGATCGATATCTTTGCTTTTCACCAAGGGGACCTCATTCTTTATTAATGAGGCACACTCATTATTAATGACTGGAAAAGAGACATCACTGATAGCAGTATCTGAATATGACATTTCGGGAGTTTCTAGGAATCAGCTGAATTCCATTACAGTTAACTTTAGGCAGGCATTAGAATCTCTTGTCTGCTTATGTCGGTGAAAACTGTGGCTTTTCAGCTATAGGCTGCCAGAGTAGAGTGGGCCTTGTAAGGGTGGGAGTCCTTCTGGCAAGGAGCTCCATTCATGCCTTTTGTTTGACTTTGATTTCACTTTATCTTGAATGTAAGTTTGCCTTATCTGAGGATTGACAAAAAGGTGATTTTTAAGTGGTTTAGTAAAATCACTGGAGTGTGGGGTTTGTCAGATTTAACATATTCACAAGATACCTAATATGTCTGAAATATTGCATAGGACATATTTACACTATGCAATATTAATTGTGTAAAAGGATTAATGTGTAAAAGTGTAAGAGGATTAATGTCAGGTTTCTCTAAAGAAAAATTTTTCTTTATTTTCTTGCTTTTATTGTTTGAGGGTCAACGCTTGTTTCATGTAATAACATTAATTGTTTTTAAATATACTTCACATTGCTCTTTTTGTTATTTTGAAAAGATTTAAAATTATTTTGCTTTATATTTACATGGTAGAAAATTCAGATGATACAAATGCATATATAGGGCAAGGTCATCCCTGTCTCCCAGCCACCAGTTGTCCTTACCCGAGATAACCAGGTTGTTTGTTGTTGTTGTTGTTAAAGAATCTCACTCCGTCACCCAGGTTACAGTGCAGTGGCACAGTCTCGGCTCACTGCAACCTTTGCCTCCCAGGTTCAAGCAATTCTCCTGCCTTAGCCTCCTGAGAAGCTGGGACTACTGTCTCATGCCACCATGCCCAGCTAATTTTTGTATTTTTAGTAGAGACAGGGTTTCACCATGTTGGCCAGGATGGTCTCGCTCTCCTGACCTCATGATCCACCCACCTCGGCCTCCCAAAGTGCTGGGATTACAGGCATGAGCCACTGCACCCAGCTGATAACCACATTTTTATGAATATTTTGTGTAATGCTTCTAGAGATTGCATTAACAGGTGATTATTTTTATATTATTTTTTTTAACACAAATGGTAACATATCATACACAGTTGTGTACTTTGCTTTTTTCCACATCATGTTATGTGTGGGGCATTATTCCTTACCAGAATAAGCTTTTTTATTCTTTTACATGCATGGTATTCCATGTTACAAGGTCCCTACTAATCACTTTTTTTGGTTGTTTCCAATAACTTGCTATTATATACAACATTTAATGAATAGCCTTCATGAAGGCATGAATATTTGAATGCCTTAAAAAAGTTTTTTTAGTCTAAAGGTAATATGCATTTATGATAAAAACTTAAAACACTTCAAATATTACCTAAAAGAATACAGTGAAAAATAAATCCCCTAAACTTCTAGTACCACTTTCCAAACGTAATACTTCCTTGTGATTATCAATTTACTTGACTTTTTTCCTTTTTTTGAAAATAAATGTCTGTGTGGTATCCCCACTACATATGTATATAACTTATGAAGTTCCTCTTTAGTGGACATGTAGGATGTCTCCAGATATTTTTTTGGATACTATAGGCAATACTACAGTGAAAATACTGTACATATCTTTGCACACATGGAGGTGTTTCTATCAAGTAGAGTCCTAGAGGTAGAACTGTTAGATGAAGGAATGTATATGTTTTAAGTTTTGATTAGTTTTACCAGTTGGCTCTCCAAAAAGATAATACTATTTGATACTTCCACCAGTAGATCCTTGCTATCTCTGGCTATTATCAAACTTTTGATTTTCAAAAATATTTGCCAATTTAGTAGGAGGAAATAAATCTTATTCCTATTTGAATTTCATTTATTATGATATATTAAGGATTTGGCCATTTCTGTTTACTGTGAATTACGATTTATGTCCTTTAGCCATTTTTTAATTGATTTATTTCTTTTTCTTTTCTTCTTTTTTGAGACAGGGTCTTACTCTGGAGACCAGACTGGAGTCCAGTAAGCACACAGTTCACTGCAGCCTCAACCTCCTGGGATTAAACAATCCTCCCACCTCAGCCCCCCAAGTAGCTGGGACTACATGCACTCACCACCATGTCCAGCTAATTTTTAATATTTTTTTAGAGATAAGAGTCTTGATCCTCTTGTAGTTCGTAAGTTTGATAATTGGGTATTCACATACATGTGTGAGATGTGCCACCCTGGAAACTTGTTACAACATTGGCACATTATCCATTTAACATGAAGGGAAGGAAAAAACAAAGAGATATGGAGTCTCACCATGTTGCCCAGGCTGATCTCAAATTCATGGTATCAAGTGATCCTTCCGTCTCAGCCTCCCAAAGTGTTGGGGGATTACAGGCATGAGCCACCACACCTGGCCTATTACTGGCATTTGAGTGTACTTTTTAATATCAAGAAATTAGTCTGTGGTCACATATATTACAAATCTTTGTTCTCATTCTGTCATTTTTTACCTTGCATGGTAAAAATATACATAATGATCTGTAAATATACATAATTTGACTCTGGAGAGAGATGAGTGGAGGATAGGGAGAGGTAAGGGTAAGTTAGTGGAGGATCCAGATCAGTCAAGCTGCTAAACACTTTTTTTCTATACATGCTAAACACTTTTTAAATAAGAAAAATGATTAGCCAGGTGTGATGGCATGTGCCTATAGTACCAGCTACTTGGAAGCTGAGATGGGAGGATCACTTGAGCCTACTTGGAGTCTGAGATGGGAGATCAAGGCTGCAGTGAACCATGATCATGATCAGGCCACTGCACTCCAGCCTGGGTGACAGAGTGAGACCCTGTCTCAAAAAAATAAGAAAAATGACGTGACAAGGCTGGGCACAGTGACTCACGCCTGTAATCCCAGCACTTTGGGAGGCTGAGTTGGGTGGATCACTAGGTCAGGAGTTCAAGACCAGCCTGGCCAAGATGATGAAACCCCACCTCTACTAAAAATACAAAAAATTAGCCAGGCATGGTGGTGCATGCCTGTAATCCCAGCTACTTGGGGGACTGAAGCGGAGAATTGCTTAAATCTGGAAGGCAGAGGTTGCAATAAGCCAAGATTGTGCCACTGTACTCCAGCCTAGGTGACAGAGGGAGATTCTGTCTTAAAAAAAAAAAAAGAAAGAAAAATGCCGTGACAAAAATTATATGACTTTTATCTCCTTAGAGGAAAGAATATAAAAGACTGTAATATTTCATTGGCTGAAGTATAATAACCATACTGAAAATGTATTTCTTACATATGTTTTTCCCTCTAGAGGTTTTGTCAGCTATGATTAGTGTGCTGTTGGTGTATATACTTATGGGATTCCTCCTATATGAAGCTGTGCAAAGAACTATCCATATGAACTATGAAATAAATGGAGATATAATGCTCATCACCGCAGCTGTTGGAGTTGCAGTTAATGTAATGTAAGCTCTGTTTTTTTCACATTAATATTTCCAAGTACTTTGAACTCAGAGACTATTGCATATGCATTTAGTAATGTGCAGTGATATTTTGATATTTTAAATAGGTCATTAATTTTTCTTATAAATGAAACACTTTGGACATTATAAATTCCTCTAATTTTCTCCAGGTATATTGGAGATTGAGTCAAAATCATGAATTTAAGAAGGACAAAGTTTTTTGTTGTTGTTTAACTTTTAGAATACTTTTATGTTAACTAGACTTTTTTTTCTTAAACTATCAATTTTTTTCCCTCAAAACTTTTTAGGGAAGAAACTTTGAAAAGTTCAACTTAGGCCAGGTACAGTGGTTTACACCTATAATCCCACACTTTGGAAAGCCAGGGTGGGAGGATCACTTAAGCTCAGGAGTTCAAGACAGCATGGCCTAACATAGTGAAGCCATATGTCTACTAAAAATAAAAATTAGCTGGGCACGGTGGCCCGTACCTGTGGTCCCAGCTACTTGGGAGGCTGAAGTGGGAATGTCACTTAAGCACAGGAGATCAAGACTGCATTGAGTTACAATTGGGCCACTGCTCTCCAGCCTGGGAAACAGAGAGAGATCGTGTCTCAAAAACAAACAAAAAAAAGAAATTATAATCATTTAGACTAGGGTTAGCAATTTTTTTCTGTAAAAGGCTAGTCAACATTTTAAGCTTTGAGATGTATATATTCTCTCTTTTTTTATTTTTTATTTTTCTTATTTCCCTCCCCTTCCTCCTGTCTATTCTCTTTCAAAACTACTAAACACTGTTGTTATAAAATAAAAGCAACCACACTTAGAATGTAAACAAATGAACATGGCTGTGTTTTTTTTTATGTAAAAAAAAAAATCAGTGAGCCAAATATCATCTGCCAGCCACAGTTTACCAATCTGCCCTAGTGGCTTCTATTTGTACTTAGAATGAAATCAAATTTTTGCTGTAGCATTGTTAATAAGACTGCATAACTCTACAACTCATCTCTTAGCACTTCTGCTCACTTTATTCTGACCACAGTGGCTGTCTTTCTTTTTGAAGTACAAGGAGCACATTTTCACGTTAGGGCCTTTGCTTTGCTTTTCTTCTGCCTAGAACCCTCTTCCACCACTTGCTTTCTGATCTCCTTCAGGTATCTGCTCAGAAAAAAATCTAAGAACCCTTCCCCTACCACTCTGCCCATCATCTCCATCCCCTTAAAATGCTTTATGTTTCTCCAGAGCATTTCACATTGCCTGGCTATACATTATGTATTTATTTGTTGGCTTCTCTGCCTTCTCTGCTAAACATAAGCTCTGTGGGGCTAGGGATACGTCTATCTTATTACCATTTTGACCTAGAACAGTACCTGATAAATAATAGGTACTCCAAATTTATTTAAAAAGTGAGTTCCATGTTACCTCATTAGTGTCTGACTAGTAACAAATGTTTTTGTCAATATTAGGAAAAATAATAACGTTTTCTTTTGTTTTTAACAGAATGGGGTTTCTGTTGAACCAGTCTGGTCACCATCACTCCCATTCCCACTCCCGGCCTTCAAATCCTCCTGCCATAGGTTCTGGGTATGAACGCAACCATGGGCAGGATAGCCTGGCAGTGAGAGCTGCATTTGTACATGCTTTGGGGGATTTGGTACAGAGTGTTGGTGTGCTAATAGCTGCATACATCATACGATTTAAGGTAATATGATTGCTGATTTTTCTATTTTAAAATGTATTTAATTTCAACATGACAACTAAGGCTGATTGTCTTTTATTAGTATACTGGACACTAATGCCAGTTCTATTCATTTTACATTGATGTAAGTTTACTTGACCGTTATTAAAGTTCTTTTGCTAGCACTAAACAAATTTATATCACCTCACAGTGTAACTTATCTGTATTTGGCTTTTGTAGTGCCTTCACTGAATAACAAATTTTCTTTTTTTCTTCTTCTTCTTTTGAGACAGAGTCTCAGTCTGTCGCCCAGGCTGGAGTGCAGTGGCGCAGTCTTGGGTCACTGCAGCCTCTGCCTTTCAGGCTCAAGTGATTTTCATGCCCCAGCCTCCCAAGTAGCTGAGATTAGAAGCACACGCCACCATGCCCAGCTGATTTTTGTATTTTTAGTAGAGACAAGGTTTCGCCATGTTGGCCAAGCTGGTCTCGAACTCCTGAGCTCAAGAGATCCACTCACCTCAGCCTCCCAGAGTGCTGAGATTACGGCATGAGCCACCATACTTGCCCAGATAACTCAATTTTAAGCCTCGTGATTGAATTGCTAGGTAGTGAAATGTGCTCTGAACTAAAAATCCAGAGATCTGGGTTGGTTCTAGTTTTGGCTCTGCCGTTAGTGCTTTGATCAGGAGAGCAAGTACCTCAACTCGAAACTTGAGTTTCTTCATTACAAGGGGCTTAGACTAGTGGCTGCTAAAACTTTTTCCAGAGCTGGGTACAGAGCTGTACCTATGATCCCAGCTGAGGCTGGAGGATTACTTGAGCCCAGGAGTTCAAGACCAGCATAGGCAACATAGCAAGAAATACATACACACACACTTCTTAGCAAGAAATACACACACACGTAGGCAACGTAGCAAGAAATACATACACACGCACTTCTTAGCAAGAAATAGACACACACACACACACACACAATTCTTTCCAGCTCTGATATTCTAGAAGATTTAGAGATAGCACAGGGAACAATAGAACAAGTGATTACATTTCTGGAAATAGGTCTCACGAGGCAAGTAATGTAAATGTCTAGGATAAAGATGCTTCTCAATTACAATATCCAACTTTTAAAGTTATTCTATAGTCCTGCTAAAGAAAATCAATATTCCTATTTTTGCTTTGTAGTCTGTTTTATGTCTTTCTATATTTAAACATAAATTTTTATCTGTTACTCTTCAGCCAGAATACAAGATTGCTGATCCCATCTGTACATATGTATTTTCATTACTTGTGGCTTTTACAACATTTCGAATCATATGGGATACAGTAGTTATAATACTAGAAGGTAAGATCTCACTAATATCTTTATTATGAGTTTATCACTTCCCTAAAGCAGATTAGGAGTCAGGGGACATTCTGAATAGGAATTACATCTTTTGCTTTCTACTAATACCTATTAGGCTATACAACAGTACCTTACATGTATATAGCATATAAGGATCAATGCACTTCCCCATCTCTTACCCATTTGATGCTTATAATAGCTAAGCAAAGTAGGTAAGGCAGATAATGTGGCAAATTATCTCCATTTACAGATAAGAAAATTGAGGTTCAGAGGGATAACATACTTTGGTTAAGGTCGTGTTGCTAATAAACCATACACTGGGACAAAAATGCAACTCTAGGAGGAATTCCTGAATTCCCACTTAACTTGTGACTTTGTTGTATTCACTGCACCCTTCCCTTAGTGATATGTGTAAACATGAAAACAAAAGTTCTCAGCAATAGGTTTATCATCACTATGTTTTTCTCTTTCCTTTTTTTTTTTTTTTTTGTCTATCCTAGCTTATCTGTTAATGAAGTATTTTGGTTTGATTGCCATTTCTTCTTAGTGAGAATGAATATGTTTTTAAAATATGTATTACCCTCTTGTATATATTTTACATTTTTAATAAAAATATATATGTACATGGCTTTCTCAAAGTATTAATAATTTAAAGTATTTGTTTAAACTGAATTTAGCAAAGTCATTTGTTTTCTTTGTGAAATATAGGTAATGTAAAAGGTCACTTTTTCCTAAAGAAATTTTACTTATAAATTATATATTCCTAATAGGTGTGCCAAGCCATTTGAATGTAGACTATATCAAAGAAGCCTTGATGAAAATAGAAGATGTATATTCAGTAGAAGATTTAAATATCTGGTCTCTCACTTCAGGAAAATCTACTGCCATAGTTCACATACAGCTAAGTATGTTGCAGATAGTAAATGTGGGCCTGGGGTTTGGTGGAGTTCTGTCTTTGAAACTAAACATCCATGTGTATAATTACGTAGGAAGACTTATTCACTGAAAAGATTTGTTTTAAGGGAGGGATGGGTCTCTTTAAAGGGTAAGTTGCAGGTCAGTCTTGATACCAGAACAGTAACTTTTTTCGAGACTGTCTTGCTGTGACGCCCAGGATGGAGTGCAATGGCGTGATCTCAGTTCACTGCAACCTGCGCCTCCCAGGTTAAAGCAATTCTTCTGCCTCAGCCTCCCGAGTAGCTGGGATTACAGGCTCCCGCCACCATGCCCAGCTAATTTTTATATTTTTAGTAGAGACAGGGTTTCACCATGTTGGCCAGGCTGGTCTCAATCTCTTGACCTTGTGATATGCCCACCTCCCAAAGTGCTGGGATTATAGGCGTGAGCCACTGCACCCAACCCAGAACAATAATTTTCTATCTCTTTAAGGTAAGATATTACAAATTGATTTTAACCTTCAGATTAAAGGTATTAAGAGTTTTTCTCAGCCAGGTACAGTGGCTCATGCCTGTAATCCCAGCACTTTTGGAGGCTGAGGTAAGTGGATCACCTGAGGTCAGGAGTTCAAGACCACCCTGACCAACATGTTGAAACTCTGTCTCTCCTAAAAATACAAAAATTAGCCAGGTGTGATGACATGTGCCTGTAATCCCAGCTACTTGGTAGGCTGAGGCAGGAGAATCTCTTGAACCCAGGATGCAGAGGCTGCAGTGAGCTAAGATGGATCCATTGCACTCCAGCCTGGGCAACAAAAGTGAAACTCCATCTCAAGGAAAAAAAAAAAAAAAAAGAATATTTCCCATGCTCTTTTCTACATAGGAAAAGCTAGATTTTTACCTTGTTATTTCTTATCTTACAGATTGATGTTATTGATGTTTTTTAATCAAAATAATACATGCATGAGGTTTACTTTTAATGTGCATAAGATCTTTTAATGACAGGTTATTGCTGTCTGGTATTCTTTCTCTGCCTGAGAGTAGACTGGAGAGGTTAGAATAATGAGAAGCCATTAAGAATTTATAAATTGACATACTTCTCTAACAGAATAGCTTAGAGAGGATAGAAGTGAGGCTGATAAAAATACATTCCCAATATATTTAGGTTGTTTTTTTTCTATATCTTATTTGAGGTGTAACTGTACAATGAATAGTAATGATATTTTCTTGACATTGCAGTTCCTGGAAGTTCATCTAAATGGGAAGAAGTACAATCCAAAGCAAACCATTTATTATTGAACACATTTGGCATGTATAGATGTACTATTCAGCTTCAGAGTTACAGGCAAGAAGTGGACAGAACTTGTGCGAATTGTCAGAGTTCTAGTCCCTAACTATATATATTTTGGGGACTCCTGCCTTATTTATCCTGCAGTCACAGACTTAAGAGCAATAAACGCAAACCTAAATGAGAACATGGAATCCCTGACAGCTGTGTCCATATCAAGCAAAAGTCTCTCAATTACAGTCACCCCAGCCTGACAGTGCTAGTCTCTGTTTCATGGGAAAATGAGACTTTGCCATAATTTTCAGATGAAGAGGTTTCCCAAACACTGTTTACAGAATGAGACGTGACTCTACACATACCTCATAGAAGACAATCCAAGATTATACTTCATTTGACAGAGTACATGTCTTAAAGGAAGCATCAAGAATTCATTATTTTCATTTAAAAATACTTTTTGAGGGCCAGGTGCTGTGGCTCACGCTTGTAATCCCAGCACTGTGGGAGGCCGAGGCAGGTGGATCACGAGGTCAGGAGTTCAAGACTAGCCTGGCCAACACAGTGAAACCCCGTCTCTACTAAAAATACAAAAAAAATTAGCTGGGTTTGGTGGCTACTTGGGAGGCTGAGGCAGGAGAATCACTTGAACCCAGGAGGTGGAGGTTGCAGTGAGCCAAGATCAAACCACTGCACTCTAGCCTGGCGACAGAGCCAGACTCCATCTCAAAAAAAAAAAACAACTTTGTAAGGCTATTTTATATTAAGCCAGTGCTGGAAAACTGAATTTTTTAAATTATATATAATAATCTTGACACCCAGCTTCTGGAATTGCTGCTTTCTTTTTACAGAAATTACTACCCAACAGATTTCAGAAATTACTAGTAGTTATCCTGAAAGTGGAATAAGCATGTATTCCTAAGTGTTTCAGAAATTTTTTTTCATGAATAAGTCTTAATGATACTGTTATGGTTATACTTTATAAACAGCCTTTTGCAGATGCTACAGGGTTTTGAATCTCAAAGTTAACATTTTTGATTATTTGTAATCTTAGAACCAAATCTTTACATATTGTGGTCACTGTCATTAAATGATTTAGGAAACACTTTCAGTATTCTGAATGGCTAATGTTAGTCTTAAACTCAAATTACTACTTGATGATTTAAAATGAGATAAAGGAACGAGGATGGGGGTTGGAGTTTCAGGTTTATGTCTTCCCGACATCACTTTCATCATTCATGGAATTGTCTTAAAAAAGCAAGAGATTGCAAAATGTAAACAATAATCTTCTGTCCCTTTAAGAACTGCCAACAGTTGGTACAAAAAGCGTCGTACGTTGGTTCCTGCCTCCACACCAAGTCATCTGTGTAGAGGGTTCAGTTTATAATTCCCACCTTTCACATATAGTAACAACATTACTCCAGAGAGAATTTTATGTTTTATGATATGGGTTATGTTTTTTTTTTCCTCATCCGTAAGAGGGGAAGAGGGTTATGTTTTATGATACATTTGATGTTTTATGATATGGATTAGGGATTCTCTATGGACTCCAGAAATCCTAAAATTCAATTTTGAGGGTTTCCAATAATACCATAGCAGAAATGCCCAAGGGGTTGGGGAGGATATTACTTTGAGAAAACAGAAATGTAATTTTGACCTTATGTATGTGTGTGGTTTTGTTTTCGTTTTTGAGACAGTCTCACTCTGTCATCCAAGCTGGAGTGCAGTGGCGTGACCTCTGCTCACTGCAACCTCTGCCTCCTGGGTTCAAGTGATTCTTCTGCCTCAGCCTCCCAACTAGCTGGGACTACAGGTATGTGCCACCACCCCAGCTCATTTTTTTGTATTTTTAGTAGAGATGGGATTTTGCCATGTTGGCCTGTCTGGTCTTGAACTTCTGTCTTCAGGTGATCCACCCACCTTCCAAAGTGCTGGGATTACAGCATGAGCCACCACACCTGGCCTGTATGTGTTTAATTTTAAAGCAAAGCACTAGATATGGATGGACATTAAATCTGTGTTGCAGGGAAACTAAACATAGAGGTTTCCAAACTGAATGCAAACTTATTTGTAAATACCTCTGTTAAAGAGGCAGCTTGACAGGTCATGTTTCATTTCACAGCCATTGCTTTTAAGATTACCTTTTATGCACATTTGGAGTCCCTTTTCTACGTGACAGTTTCTTATACCAAGAATGGATATGGTTCTTAGGCTCCTCTAAGAATCAGAGTAGAGTAACAATGTACCAGGCAAATTGTGAGTTGAAATTCTAGATAGGCATGCCAATGACTTATAATATAAATGAAGAATAGGAGACATTTCATCTTCTTACCAAGTACCTTACTATAAGTAAACCTAACATAAGAAACCCCAAATTTACTATAAGATTGTTGGGAGTTAATTGTGTCAATAAAAGGATTGATGGTCCCACTAATGAAACCCAGTAGGCATTTGTTGAATTGAACTGAAAATTTTTGTGGCCAGACACAGTGGATCATGCCTCTAATCCCAGCATTTGGAGAGGCCAAGCTGGGAGGCCAAGAGTTCAAGACCAGTCTGGCAACATGGGGAGACCCTGTCTCTACAAAAATATAAAAATTAACCAGGCCTGGTGGTGCACACCAGTAGTATCAGCTACTTGTAAGGCTGTGGCAGAAGTGCTTAAGCCTAGGAGGTTGAGGCTGCAGTGAGCTGTGTCCACACCATTGCACTCCAGCCTGAGCAACAAAATGAGACCCTGTCTCAAACAAAAAAAAGGAAAAGAAAATTTACATGATGGGATTCCTATTGTGAAGTCATTTAAAATAATGACTTGAATTTCTCAAAAATTTCAGGAACATATAAACTATTTAAATCAAAATGTTGTTACATATAGAAAGCAAGTTAGAATAAATGAGACATATTTATGGACTTTGAGTATCTGGCAATTAAAAAGGAAAAAAAATTCATCATACCCTAATCATTTTTCATATCTATTGAGCTTGTTTCTTTTAAACGTTTCTTTATCTTTTTTTTTTTTTTTTGGATTTCCTATATTGTTTTCTTTTTTTTTTTTTAATTGCATTTTAGGTTTTGGGGTACATGTGCAGAGCATGCAATACAGTTGCATAGGTACACACAGGGCAGTGTGTTTTGTTTGCTTTCTCCCCTTCACCCACATTTGGTATTTCTCCCCTGGCAATCCCTCCCCACCTCCCCCTCCCACTGGCCCTCCCCTTTTCCCCCTATAGACCCCAGTGTTTAGTACTCCCCTCTCTGTGTCCATGTGTTCTCATTTTTCATCACCCGCCTATGAGTGAGAATATGCGGTGTTTCATTTTCTGTTATCTTATGGAGAGGTATCTGGCTTTTCATATCAACCTGTTCCTTAAAAATGTATTTGATAAGCCAGGTGTGGTTGTTCACACCTGTAATCCTAGCACCTTGGGAGGCTGAGGCGATGCCTGAGGTCAGGAGTTCGAGACTAGCCTGACCAACATAGTGAAACCCCGTCTCCACTAAAAATACAAAAAATTAGCTTGGAGTGGTGACAGGCACCTGTAATCCCAGCTACGGGGGAGGCTGAGGCAGGAGAATCACTTGAATCTGGGAGGCGGAGTTTGCAGTGAGCCGAGATCGAGTCATTGCACTCCAGCCTGGGCAACAAGAGTGAGAATCAGTCTTAAGAAAGAAAAAAAATTGTGTTTGATAAAACAAGCTAAAATTAATTGGCAGATTGAATTTTTTTCTTTTAAGATGGTGTCTCACTGTCACCCAGGCTGGAATGCAGTGGCACAATTTCGGTTCACTGCAGCCTCCGTCTCCCAGGTTCAAGTGGTCCTCCCATCTCAGCCTCCCAAGTAGCTGGGACCACAGACATGCACCAGCAAACACCCGGCTAATTTTTTGTATTTTTGGTAGACACAGGGTTTCGCTATGTTGCCCAGGCTGGTCTTAAACTCCTGAGCTCAAGTGATCTGCCTGCCTCAGCCTCCCAAAATGCTGGGATTACAGGCATGAACCACTGCACCCAGCCAAAAAAATCCTTTTGTAAAATACAGAAACACTGAAAACTTTTGTAAATCTTTTTTTCTTTCTTTCTTTCTTTTTTTTTTTTTTTTAATGAGATTGGATCTTCCTATGTTGCCCAGGCTGGTCTTGAACTCCTGGGCTCAAGAAATCCTCCCACCTAGGCCTCCCAAAGTGCTGGGATTATAGGTGTGAGCCACCCCACCTGGCCATGAAAACTTTTGTTAATCTTAACTGTTGTGTTCTGCTTAAAGTGAGGTACACATAAAGTTTCCTGTGCTTTTTTTTGTAGCAAGAACTACATATTTTGTATCTGTACCTTACTGAGTCTATGAGATTTGAGAATTGATAGATTTCACTTTTTATAACTTAACAAAACCAACAGAAAAGGACGTTAACTTAGCAGAAAAGGACCACGGACTAAACGACTTTTGACAGAGTGTTTGGTCTGTCCTTCACTTGTTGAGCCACAGCCATGCGTTACACTTCTCAGCTGAGCTATCGAAGAGCTCGATGCCCTGTGAAAAGCAGTGGCTGTCTCACAACAAAGTGGAGACAATCTAGTAAAAAAAAAAAGAAAGAAAGAAAAGCAGTGGCTGAGTTGGATGAACACAGCATTGTTAATTTTGCCCTGGGAAAACAGATTATGACAGGACCACAGACGACCACAACATAAAAACTTGGCAGTATTTTGGTGTGATATATTTAAATTAATATTTACAAATAACATACATAAACCTGTGTTTCACAACTGTGGCCAGATGCAGCCTTTTGACCTGTTTCAGGAAAAGACCTATTATTCCACTAACAGTTATGCTGCCTTAGAAACATAATGGGAACTGGAAGCTATTGTAATTCCTGCATACATTTCCATTAGCTATGCCTTATGTAATGTGAGTGCAGATTTTTCACAACTTAGAGTTCCCATCAGTGTTTTTACCACTGACATCACTGGGTTTCTCATTTTACTGTTTTCTTCTCAACTTTGGGTGCTTTATTTCCATTCTCTAAAACTGAGTTTCTTGCTCTTAGGAGACTTAGTGTTCCTCTTGAACCCAGGTGTTCCACCTGACAGTGTTTGTCTTTGGTAGACTTTCAGAATAGACATAGTCAAGATCAGACATGTGAGCTTCTCTCTCATTTTAATGTGAGGAAAATCATCTTTCAGAGACAAGGCACCAGTTAGAAATGTATTTCCAGGTAGGAAAGAACCTTTTTAAAATGGCTGGTTGTTCCCGATTCAGATTTCTCTGCACACTGGACTGCAGTAGAGTAAGTGTGGTAGACAGACACGACGCTGCACAACCACCAGTAAACATCATTGCTAAGAACACTCTGGGTCATGTTTCTCAAACAGCCACTCTCACAGCTTTTGTAACCTTAATCATTTGATTCTGAAGCACAGTTAGCTAAATTTATTTTCCTTTTATGCATTTATGTTAATTAGTTCAACATAATGTATTCTTACAGAACATGAGCCCCTTTGAAATGAGTTTTTTAGGAAAATTTTGCTGTTGGCTCTGAATTGTATATAGCAAATTTAAAGTTAGAGTGTTTCCTAGATACAAGATTAGTTCATTTGGTTCAGTTTGTCTTTGAACCAGGCCAAGCTCATGAGCCAGTTGGGTATTAGTCATAAATGAACAGTCACACATCACTATATGCTATGTTGAGCGGGGAGGCAAGTCTGATCTCTAAATAATTTATGAAGCTTAATAGCTCTGTAGCCAAAATACCTTTGCAAACCCTAACTCCAGATATGTCATGTGAATCTTGACAGCCAGGGCTTAAGATTTGTTTTACTGATTGCCAGTCAGGTATATTATTTGTGATGTTCATGGGAGCACTCAAAGTAGAAGACAGTGTTGTGGGAGTTCCTCAGTAGTGAATTATATGTGTGTACTCGGGCCAGCCAGTGATTCAGTTCTCACTTATAAAGGGTTTAACCTGCTCTTCTAATCATTGAGGACCAATTTGATTTTTTATAAAATTGGAAAACATTTATGGAGACTTCCCCAATTAAATCTATGACAGTGTCCATTTAAATAGTGCAATTTAGTATATTCTGAAATAACTGCAACACAAAATTGAAATGTGCCAGTATGTCATCTTTCTGCCTGGAAGATACTGTATATTTGGAAAGTTCATGCTTCTCTAAATAAATACATGTTATTAAATACGCCATATCACAGCTAAAAAAACTGTATATACTTTATAATATGTCCTTTTAGAAACCAAGTATTTTGCATATGGTTGATTTTAGAAAGATTTTGAAGCTGGGGTGTATCCATGTTAATTAAGATCAAAGTATAAATATAAATATATATATGTACTGTATTTGCAACTTTCAAATTGTAATTTCCTATACATTTATTAAAGTGTTGTTTTGCCATGTGGTTTATTAAATAAAAATGTACAGTCCCTTAAATATCTGCTCTTTTTATTAAGTAATGTTAGTAGGCCTAAAAACATTGTTCTTAAAAAACAAAAGAAAATCTATTATAACCTATCTAGTTTTATAATGTCATTTTATAATCTCCTCTTAGATGTTTAAGAAATAAAACTGAAAAAAATCTTCTAGATAGTATGGAAAGATTTATTAAAAGATCTTTCTCTTTTGATATGAGTCCCATGCAATGTCTCTCCAGTCCCATCAACAGTGGCAGAAAGGAAGGAAAGCAGCCACTGTAAAATAGACTGGTGAGGCCCACAGGGAAGTCTGAGTAAGAACCTGACCAGTCCACACTACACCTCCCAGGCCAAATCTGGCCTGCAAGTCTGTTTTATTTGGCCTAAGAGCTAAGAATGATTTTTACATTTATTAAAAATAAATCGCTGGGTGCAGTGGCTCATGCCTGTAATCCTAACACTTTGGGAGGCCAAGGCAGGTGGATTGCTTAAACCTAGGAGTTCAAGACCAGCCTTGGCAACATGGTGAAACCTCATCTCTACAAAAAATACAAATACTAACTGGGCATGGTGGCACATGCCTATGGTCCCAGATACTCGGGAAGCTGAGAGATGGGAGGATTGCTTGAGCTCAGAAGGTCTAGGCTGCAGTGAGCCATGAGGGTGCCACTGCTCTCTAGCCTGGGTGACAGACCCTGTATCCCCCTCCCAAAAAAAAAAAACAAAAAACCATAATAATATTTAATGGCATGTGAAAATTATATGGACTTTAAGTGAATTTCTGTATCTATAAAGTACTAGTGGAACACAACACACTCATTCAGTTACATATCGTCTATGGCTGCTTCCATGCTACTGTGGAGAGTTGCCTAGTACCATAAAATATTTACTATCTGGTGCTTTATAGGAAACATTTACCAACCCCTGGTGTAGACTGTTTAAGACTATAACATAAGGATTCAGTGAGGTCTTCTAGAGCCTGCTTGCAAGTTTTTGTGACTGGTATATCTGAAGCCACCTGAGTCACCACAGGTTCTTTCTTACTTTTACCTTTTTTTTCTTTTTAATCTTCCTTTGGGTTCAGGGCAGAATATAAGAAAACAGTAGCAAGATTTCAAATATTCATGTGCCATATGCTCGCAAAGCACTTTTACTAGAACACCATGATCACCAGCATCGTTTAAGTATACTTTTCAACATAAAAGCCTGTTCAATTGATTTTCAGATTTTTCACTTGTTATAACAAAAAGTTAAGAAAATAAAAATATGTGTAGAGTACCTTATGTAATTTGTGCCAACTGGGAGCTCACAAATGATATTCTTTAAGGTTTTAAGTTTCCTAGCAAAAGACAGTAATATTTAGAAACAAGTAATAAAATATAGTTGGCTGGACACGGTGGCTCACACATGTAATCCCAGCACTTTGGGAGGTGGATCACAAGGTCAGGAGATTGAGACCATCCTGGCTAACATGGTGAAAAACCCCATCTTAAAAAAAATATATATATATATATAGTTGTAAATAGGATATACTAGTAAATACTGAGCTTGTAATCCCAAAACTTTGGGAGACTGAGGCAGATGGATCACTTTGAGCTCAGGAGTTGAGCTCAGCCTGGGTAACAGTGGTGAAACCCCATCTCTACAAAAAATACAAAAATTAGCCAGGCATGGTGGAGCGTCTGTAGTCCCAGTTACTCGGGAGGCTGAGGCTGGAAATCACTTAAGCCTGGAAGGCAGAGGTTGCAGTAAGCTGAGACTGCACCACCGCACTCCAGCCTGGGTGACAGAGCGAGACCCTGTTTGTTAAAAAAAAAAAAAAAAAAAAATTATACACATACATATACTAATAAAGATAGATGTTACAAATTATGTGACTACCTAGCTATATTTCTGTTTTGATGTGTCATTTTTTTGGTCCATGTCAGATGTTAAATACTAATTTGGAGTAACAAGAGTCTTATAAGCTATTTTTTATGCTAAACTTTAATATATTCATAGAATAATACTTTTTGGTTACATTTTAACTCCATCTATGGTCCCATAATAATTGCTATAAGCTATGAAACAGACTAAGCACAAATAGGAAGTAGGAAGTCTTATGACAAAATACAATCTCTACATGAGTCATGTGTTTAAGATAGGCGGTTTAAAAATCCAGCATCAGTGACATATCACCAAAGATAACATTTTCAAGCAGCATTTTGGTTTAACAGGCTCTCGTGTAATTTTTACAGAGCACTACCAAAATTAAAGTTTGGTCCATGGGTCTTGCCCTATAAACATGAAAAGGATACTCTGTGGGTTATCAAATTGCTTGCATGTCTCCTGGACTTAAAAAAGTTTTTTTTTTCTGGTTTGATTTTCCTATTTCTGTGTTTCGCTTGCCAGTTTCTGCACATTCGTTTGTAGTTGGTATTAAAAAAAAAAAAAAAAAACTTGTCACTTCAACAAAATACCGATGCAATGGAAAAATGTGTGGGGTTAGTTTTTCTCCAAAATACATTGAGTTAATTCTTGGTAAGAGAGTAGGATTTTTTATAACTGGAAAATTTTAGAGACCTCATGAAAGAAAGGCTAGCCCTGAAACAGGACAGACCGTCTCTGCTCCCTTGACTCTCCTAGCTTTTGAAGATCTGACCCCACTTCCTTTCCAGAGGAAACCTGCTAACAGCTTAAATGGTTACAGCTGTTAAATGGTTACAGTGATCACAGGAGTTGAGCTCAGAATGTTTGACTTCAGTCAGGGCGTGAAGGACTGAGGAGAAGGTAAAAAATGTTTCCTGGACTTCCGTTCATTAATCCATCATACTCACCTGTGAAGACTATGGGCAATTCCTAGTTCCAACACGTTCTCAGTTTACAACTTGACTTGAGTTTCAGTGTTAGCAGAGTCCAAGTCTGTTCCATCCTCTTTTTGCTTTATGTATTTTCCAAAGTCCAGGATATTTTTTAAACCCTAAAATAAAGTATTATATAATTTAGTATATTAGTCAATGATATGTATTTGGTTTTTAGAAGTGTTTCTCAGCTGGGCATAATGGCTCACACTCATAATCCCACAACTTTAGGAGGCTCAGGAGGGAGGATCACTTGAACTGAGACGTTCAAGACCAGCCTGGGCAACATGGTAAAACCCCATCTCTACAACAAATTAGCTAGGCATGGTGGTACGCACCTGTAGTCCCAGCTACTTGGGTGGCCGAGGTGGGAGGATCACTTGAACCCAGCAGGTCGAGGTTGCAGTGAGCTGAAATTGTGTTGCTGCACTCCAGCCTTAGTGACAGAGGGAGACCCTATCTCAAAAAAAGAAAAGTGTTTCTCATCTTTAAGATATCATGATATTGAAATTTAGACATCTCAAAAAGTTGGTTCAGGCCAGGTGCAGTAGCTCACACCTGCAATCCCAGCACTTTGGGAGGCTGAGGTGGGTGGATCACCTGAGGTCAGGAGTTTGAGACCAGCCCGGCCAACATGGCAAAACCCTGTCTCTGCTAAAAATACAAAAAAATAAGCTGGGCATGGTGGCATTCACCTGTAGTCCCAGCTACTCAGGAGACTGAGGCAGGAGAATCGCTTGAACCCAGGGGATGGTTACAGTGAACCAAGATGGTGCCACTGTACTGCATTCCACCCTGGGTGATAGTGAGAGTCTGTCAAAAAAAAAAAAAAAAAAAAGTTGGCTTAAGTGTTTGGAAATGGTTTTTTCTTTTTTTTTCTTTTTTTCTATAGGCAAGGTCTCACTCTGTCCCCAGGCCATAGTGGTGTGATCTTGGCTCAATACAGCATCAACCTCCCTGGTTCAAGAGACTCTTCTGTGTTAGCCTCCTGAGTAGCTGGAATTATAGGCATGCACCATCACACCCAACTAATTTTTGTATTTTTAGTAGAGATAAGGTTTCACCACGTTGCCCAAGCTGGTCTTGAACCCCTGGGCTCAAGCAATCCAATCGTCTTGGCCTCCCAAAGTGCTTAGGATTGCAAGCATAAGCCATTGCACCCAGTGGAAATGTTTTTTTCTGATGTGAATTGAGACTTTCTAAATGCCATCCATTTTATACTTATTCAACCAAGGATTGACCTATGAAGACCATCTCCTTGCCACTGAACATGCTATGAAATAGAACGCACAATTGCTGTGGGTTTTTTGGTTTTTTTTTTTTAAGTTAAAACAGGAAATAAAACAATGTTTTCAGAGGGCTTCTTGGGCCATAGTCTCACTCTTATAGATAGAAGATCACACTTGTCTCCCATTAGAAATGGCTTCAGAAACTATGACGGAGAGGATAAAGTCTATCCTCTTGGTAATGACATGCGAAGTCCTGATCTGGTCACTGCTTACCTCGCCACTCTCCACTTCCAGCCTTTCCCACCACCACCAGCCTACCTCCCATGTGTTGGCCATACCAAACTATAAGCAGCTTTTGGTTAACCAGGGAAATAAATAATTGCTAACACTTACTGAGCCCTGACTGCATCCAGACACCGTGCTGTGCACTTTGTTTCATGCTCATGATGGTAATGTGAGGAACGCTGTCATTCTCACTAGGAGGGTTTAAGTGACTTGCCCAAAGTCATCTAGGTAGATTTGTGATGCAGGAATAGAAAGCCACAGACAACTCTTAAGTTATAACTAGTAATATGTAATATAAAAGGGATTCACTGTAGATTAATGTAGTTGAAATCACAAGTTTTAGGTAACAGACATATAAACATAGTGGAAGTATAATACTTTAGCTGTAGGAGATTACACTTCCTTTTCACACCTGATCTTTTTTGTGAGAGGGTAGGGCAGTTCCATGTTACAGTCAACAGGTACCCACTGGTCATAGCAGTCCCCCAAATCTCCAGCCAGTGAATACATGGTTTTGGGAAAGGGAAAAGAGGCTAAATCAGGGAGAGGATGCTGTGCCTACAACTGGGCCATCATCAGGACAGGATGGAGACAGAAAATAGCTCAGAAATGCTACACAGTGTGTGTGAACCACTGGAAATGAAACAAATGGATAAGCCTCTGGTAATTCACAGAAACACCCAGGAAGGCACTGAACTTTTCACAAGTCACAGGATTAGAGGTTAAAACTGATCTCATCTTGTTTGAGGACTGGGTAAGATCCAGCCGATAATGTGGGTTACTAGGTAGCTCCAAACCAAACTACCTAGTTACTAGGTAGATGTTTTCCTTGTGAGCTCATACAGAGTCAGGCACTCAGCAGGCTACCTGGGTTTCCATCCTGGCTCTCCCTGGCAGTGAGATTTGGGGACAGTTACTGACAAGTTACTGTGCTTCAATTTCTCTGAAAATGGGGATAATAACTGTCTCTACCTAATGTGACTTTTACAAGGATTAACTGAGATACCACAAATATACTGAAAACACACAAAACTCAAATGTTAGCTATTATTACTACAAGTTGATTTTTCTTTTATTTGTTGTTGTTGTTTTTGAGATAGAATCTCACTCTGTCATCCAGGCTGGAGTGCAGTGGTGTGATCTTGACTCACTGCAGCTTCCGCCTCTGGGTTCAAGCAATTCTTCTGCCTCAGCCTCCCGAATAGCCTCCTGAATAGTGCACACCACCATGCCTGGCCATTTTTGTATTTTCAGTAGAGACTGGCTTTTGCCATGTTGGCCAAGCTGGTCTCCAACTCCGACCTCAAGTGATCCACACGCCTTACCCTCCCAAAGTGCTGGGATTACAGGTGGGAGCCATCGTGCTTAGCCACAAGTTAATTTTCACAAACACACTGCCTACTATTATTTTTACTTGACTAAGTGAGCATTGTGCGTCTTGCAGCTTGTCTTTGCCCCTTCTTTACCTGGAAGATTTTATTCTCCAAATTCTGTACCTCAGAAAAACCAATAGCTCCTTAACGACTCCACTCCAGAAGCATCATCTCCAAGAAGGCTTTCTTGCTCCCGGATGTGAATGAGGCCTCCATGGTTTGGTGCCTCCATCATTTGGTCACCATGGAGAGCCATAGTGTCAATTACCCACAGCCCTGGGGTAGGACCTAAGTCTTTGAATCTCCAGTGTGGAAGCCACAGTGAACATTCATAGGCTGCATGAATGTCCCCACAGTTGGGGATTCATTAAATATCTATCTCTGCACACAAAATTTTTAAAGAGCTCTAAGAACCCCCACTGCCAACGCTCTAACCTCTTTCCTATAATGTAACTGAAACCCTATCATAAAACTGCTCTTCTATAAAAATATTCCAGATTGGCCACCTCCCAATTACAAAGAATTGGGTTTTATACTTAGCTACGCAATTTTTACGGTTGGTTTATCTCTTTAAGTTTACAACCAAAATTAGATACATTTCTGAAACACTCCAGACAATTACATAATTACAACTAAAAGTGATAATGGCCAGCAGTTATTATCACTTACAGAACTTGATAATCTCTTTCCCAGCCCAGTAGTAGCACTGAGCTGCTTCAAAACAATTCTAGCCTTGCTAATGACAGCTTGTTTTTTAATCACAGTTTTTTAAATGAATTAATAAGGTGACAGTTTTCAGCTTCAAACTGTGGGAGAACTCACTACTTTTTTTTTAAGAGACAGAGTCTCACTGTCACCTAAGCTGGAGTATAATGGTGGGATCATGACTCACTGCAGCCGTGACCTTCCAGGCTCAAGCAAGCCTCCCAAGTAGGACTGTGGACATGTGCCACCATGCCCACCTAATTTTTTTTTTTTTTTTTTTGTAGAGATGAGGTCTCCGTATGTTTCCCAGGCTGGTCCTGAACTTCTGGGCTCAAGTTATCCTCCTGCCTCAGTTTCCCAAAGTGCTGGGATTACAGGTATGAGCAAATATGAAAGTGGCTGACATTACTTTCAAAGTATGAATGAATTTAAAAATCAGTAATCTTTATCTTCACTGTTAAAATATTTAACCAAGTATATGCACATATATTGGATTAAGAGGCAGCCAGGCATAGTGGTTCACACATGTGATCCCAGCACTTTGGGAGGCCAAGGCAGGAGGATCACATGAGCCCAGCAGTTTGACACTAGCCTGAACAATATAGTGAGACCCTATATCTAAAAATAAAACGAAATAAGAGAAGAACTCAGCTTTGCGCAGTGGCAGTATAGTAGCCAATGAGGTTTATCAGAGGCACGATTATTGCTAATTCAAAACTCTTCCCAATACCCCGCCATGGCGACTTGAAATATCGTCAGCACTGGCAATTTTTGACAGTCTCTATGGAGACTGAATTTAAAAAGAAGAAGAAGAAAGAGACAGAAGAACTGGTTCTGGTCCCAGCTTTGCTAAATGTGTCTCTCTCGACAAGTTACACTGTTTTGCTAGGCCTCAGTCTCGCTGTCTATATAATGATAATAATAAACATTGACTGAGTGTTCCACACTGTACTTGCCAAGCACTGTTCTAAAAGCTTTCTCAGTGTTAACTCAGTGAATCCTACCACATAGTCCTATGAATTATTATTACCCCTGTTGTACAGATGAGGAAACTGAGGCAAAGAAAGATTAGATAACTTCCCAAGCTTAGCTAATTGGTAGCAGATCTGGGATTCTAATACAAATTGGTCTGGCTCCAGCAATCCCACTTTTAGCATTTATGGTAAGATTCTCCAGCTGGGACCAACACTGTCAATTATCTAGTGCAGAACTGCATGACTCTCATAAGCCTCCTAAGGGTGGCGAGGTGGCTGCCCCAGACCACAGAGAGAACCTGCCTGCAGGGGACGCTGTGTGGGTGGGGCAGATGTAAGTGAGAAGGGCCGGGTGGGAAGGCACCTGCTCTATCAGTAATGGCCCAATTGTATGTACACTCACCTTCACTCTGTCCCCATCTCTCCTAGAACTACCAGAGGCTTTCTGGCTTTTTCTAAATAAAGAGCTTGAGGTGGCTATACTCTTACTGTCTCTTCTCTTGTCCATTTAGCCAGCATGGTAGGATGTTAAGAAGAGGGTTTGGATCTAGCC